ACCATACTTCACTTAGAAATACTTAAAAAAAAAGCAGGCAGCATATATCATTATAATATTAAAAAAAACAAGGGTTATAAAGACAGACATAATGAAAAAAAAAAAGTGAAGCATTAGGCAGTGCCTGGACTAAAAAAAAATCATGTTAGGGACAACACTGAAAAGCAAAAAAAAAATACCACTTTCAAAAGGTTGCCAACAAGCAAAAAAAACAAGTGTTTCTTTGAGCTAAACGTTATTAAAAAAAAAATCTGCTATGTATGTCTAAAACACCATAAAAAAAATTATCAAAAATAATTATTATAGACTGACAAAAAAAATAAACTATTATACCGTACCTGAGTCATCAAAAAAAACAGTCATCCCATCAACATAGTTTACCTGAAAAAAAAATGATATCTTTATAGTTAACAGTACTACAAAAAAAATAAATGTAGTAAATGAATGATCTTACCAAAAAAAAATTACAAGATCAAAAAATCTGAGCTCCAGAAAAAAAATAAACCCACGACCTTCCGTTGACACTACAAAAAAAAGATTAGTAATAATATTTGTTTGATGGATAAAAAAAATGCATGTCCTGTTCCTGTCTGGGCCATATACTACCATTATAACCTAATGCTAAGGTTACTGGCCAAAAAAAACCAGATATAGCAATATAGCATGGCATCAAAAAAAAAACAATATGAGGACTCTGCAGTCTTGTAAAAAAAAAATGCATTTAATCAGAATATCATTAAACTTAAAAAAAATATGAATCCTGCCTACAGAACAAATAAACCAGGTACCTGTTTCCTTATTCTCTTTCCTTTCCCAAAAAAAAATGCTTCATCTTCTCTATATTGCTCATAGTGATGGCGAAGTAATTTCTCCCAGTAATCTTGGTCAAAAAAAAAAGCTTGCTAGAAACATAAATACCACAGGAAAAAAAAATTGCTTATGCATTGTACCAGGATACATAAAAAAAACCATCATATGGTACAACAGACCAGTACAAACATTTTTACCTTCAAAACTTCAACATCATCTTCAAAAAAAATTACAATGTAGCTTGCAACCTTGGAAAGAAAAAAAAAAACATATAAAAAGACCCCAAAATCAAAAAAAAAAATAAGCAATTTAAAGATATTAATAATAATAAAAAAAAATTCCATAAATACCCCAAAAAGGTACATAAAAAAAAAAAAGTTAACTTTAACAAACAAGATAATAAAAAAAAACTAAGTTATTGATGTACAGATTGAAACAAAAAAAATTAGTACCTTGAATGAAGCTAAGTATTCATTGGCAAGCATTGACTCCTCACTGTTATCATCTACAAAAAAAAGGTCTCTGTCAAGTAATCTATCTATAGCAAAAAAAACGTAGTGGAATACAACACTGTCACCAGAAAAAAAAAATACAAATCAGTATTGTTTAAGATTTTAGTGTGATTTTCAATTAGTTCATCAATACCCTAAAATAAAAAAAATTCTTTTGTTGCTAAGGTTCATAACATTAAAAAAAAATGCACTTTACAGGTTTATGAAATCCACAAAAAAAAGTTTATTTCTGTCAGAGTACTGAAAATTACCTCCATCTTTGACATCATCATCTTTGAAGAGCTCAAAAAAAACAAACTTTAGAATATCATCCAGTTCTGTAAAAAAAATAATGGTGGCCTTGTTAGAACCCATCCCAGGGCGCACCACTAGATGAGTTAACATCATCTTCTTAAAAAAAACCTACAGAAGAAAAAAAACAAACCAAGTAAAAAAAATACTGAAGAAATAACTAGTTGCTGATTAAAAAAAAAAAGTGATGGAAAGACCAATAAAAGTATTAAAAAAAAAAGGATTGAAAAGTTACTGAGTGACATTTCCAACATTTAAGTTGTTCCTGGAACGTCTCAAAGTAAAAAAAAATTTTAAGGTTAATAATTCATCCCTTTAAAAAAAAAGAAAAGTAATACTAAATCTTGCTAATTCAAAAAAAATCTATTGTTTAGTTATCACTATTTTAGTAATAAATAGTCTAGTCTCATTGCACACTTTCAATGCAAAAAAAAGTAAGCACTAACCTGTGTGATCCTCTCTAAAAAAAAAGATCTTGTTACAAAGCGATAGATCATGAAAAAAAACAATCGTAAAAACCTAGGATGAGATTCMAAAAAAAATGTCACTGAKTCACAGATATTTTCTGTAAAAAAAAATTCTGACCAATTCTGTGGGCACGACTGAATGCCTGATTGATTAAAGAAAGTATTTGAGATGAGAAAAAAAAACAAAGACAAATCTTAAAGTAACAATGGTAAAAAAAATGGTGGATTATGTACTATGTCCAAACAGAAAAAAAATTTGCAGACACTGGAAACTAATGGACACAAAAAAAAAAGAACGGTTTAATAACAACAAACATTTAAAAAAAAATTATAAAACCTACTTGTATGTCATTGTAAAAAAAACAGTCAGAGTCATAGATAATGACAGTATAAAAAAAAGCTAGATTAATACCCAGTCCTCCAGCACAAAAAAAAAGTAAGAAACAGAAGGCTTGAGAATTTGGTGCTAAAAACAACATACACTAGAAGTCAGTCTATAAAAAAAAACTTATACTAAAGATGATGAGATATTGTAAAAAAAAAAACTAATTCACAATGTAACTACTGATACAAAAAAAACTAACCAATCAGGTCGAAGCATTTTTATAAAAAAAATGAAATGTGAATTGCTATTCCTTAATCAAAAAAAAACAGTTTGATTGGTTAATGATTCTATTTTAAAAAAAATACCTAGCTTCAAGATGCACTGTCAGAAAAAAAAAATGTCAGAATAAGTTGTTGAATATTTTTTAAAAAAAAGCAATCGGTTGCATTTGTATTTATTTTTAAAAAAAAGATATAGCACTTTATTTACATGTACATAAAAAAAAAATAATTCAAGAATGTAGATTATTGAAATAAAAAAAACAATGTGATGTACCATTAAACCTGTCAAAAAAAAAATGTCTGGCTGAACCATTCACTGATCCATCTATTCTCTCATACTTGTACCCATGCCCCTCTAGGAAAAAAAAAAGGATGTCAAGCATACGAGTCATCTGAGAAAAAAAAAAAACTCTGTGGTTTTGTTCTCTGAGCTAAAAAAAAATGTTGGCCAGTAGATTAAGTTTACCACAAAAAAAAGTCAATGCATGTACTTCATAGTTCCCAGAAAAAAAACTTGGTGCATCCTACAAATCACAATGTGAAAAAAAAATTTCGGTAATCAAGTGAATTGTCAAATAAAAAAAAAGAGCTGCTGTTGTTTATTACATCTTTAAAAAAAAATTTACAGTATGTCCCCCCCTCCCCACCCAAAAAAAAAAAGAGAGGTGTAGGGAGACAGAATCTTAAAAAAAAGTCCTTATTAGAAGATGCAGTGATTTGTAAAAAAAAAAAGAAAGACAGCAACATGATCTCCACAATTACTTTATTATTCTGAGGCTTGTCTGCCCTGGGAAAAAAAAACAACCTCTGATACAATAGTCAGAGCTAAAAAAAAAACATATTTATATTTTGTTTGTATTGATTGAAAAAAAATATATATGTCAGATTTGCATAGAATTGTAAAAAAAATACTTGCATGGAAATGGCCTTATTTCAAAAAAAAAATCAATACAAATATATGACTCATTTATATAAAAAAAAAACAATTGCGGAAAAATATTTGTTTTGGAAAAAAAACACATTAGAGAAATTTTGATTCAAAAGAAAAAAAAACAAAAGGATGGAGTAAATGACGTCATCTAAAAAAAAATTTTTGGCCCAAATTATTAAGGATTTGAAAAAAAATCTTCTTGAAATCTGTTGCTTCATCATTAAAAAAAACATATGGATAGGTCTATATAATTTCCAAAAAAAAAATAATGTTTAGCAATTTTCGTCCAAGTAGAAAAAAAATGAAACTAGTTGGTGGAGTAATAATAACAAAAAAAAATTTCTGCTGATTGGTGTCCATACTCAGAAAAAAAAGAGTACCATTTTACACTATAAACAATGAAAGAGATGTTTCAAGAAGATGCTTACCAGAGCAGCAAAAAAAAATAGATAAGGATGATTACAGCACTTTTTAAGTTCCATCATAATATTTAGCAGTGATACTTGTTGTGCACCTTTGGTATTCAGGGCTTCAAAATTACGTGTTAAAAAAAACTTATAGTATTTCCTGTTACACAAACATAAATTTTGATTTCAATTGATTTATACTACTGATTTGCCTTTGGAAATACCAAAAACATTGATTTTATAATTAACATARCATGGTTTTGACCATTCCCAGTGCAAAACCCATTTGAACTGTATACTTAAGTGACTTACTTCTGAAGAGAACTCAATTCCACTCTGACAATCAGTTCATTCTTGGAGGGAATTCCTTTCAAAACGTCACCCTTCAACCGTCGCAACATGTGAGGACCAAGAATGTCATGGAGTTTCTTGATTTGATCTTCTTTAGCGACATTGTCAAAATAAAAAAAAAAGATGTTCTTATTGCTACAACACAACATGGTGAAAATTAGCATAAAAATATCATAATTATTTAAAAAAAAAAGTAGTAAGTACAAGATTGAGTTATAAGAAAAAAAAATGAATTAGTAAATACTTTTTCTAATATAAAAAAAAAAGTCATTTTTGACATTTCCAGTAAGAAAAAAAAAATTTTTAATTAAAGCTAATATTTCAGTTTAAAAAAAATACTTCTTACTTGAATTCTGATGGATCAAAAAAAAAGAGTAGATTCCACAATTCTTCTAGATTGAAAAAAAAAGGTGTACCAGTTAATAATAGTTTGTAGAAAAAAAAATAGTCACTTAGACATCTAAAAAACTACA